CAAAATAAAGGATGAACGTAGCAGGGAAACCATCAGTGTTTCTTTCTTTCATATATATGTGTGTGTGTGTGTGAGAGAGAATACATACATATATACATATATATATATATATATGAATATATGAATATATATATTCAGCCATATGTATATATATAAATATATTCATATACATGAATATATATGTCTATGTATATGTTCAGCCAATTATACCACACAAATACTTTGTGCTTAATAGTTTCATAGGAAGGGGAATTTTACCAGGGATAACGGAACCAATCATAGTTTTACATGGTGACAAACATGCATTTGGAACAATTCCCCAAATTACTAGTACTCCAAGATCTAAATGACACTATGTCAGGATTCCTTCATGTTTTGTATGAGGGGCAACAGGATAAAAACTGGAAAATAAAAATATCCCCTCACATGATAAGGTACCATATCGTACACCTCTCCTTTCCACACTGAATGTTGCTTTGGTACCTACCTTTGCCGTGTGATGAGGTTAATGTAATGCCTCAATGCTGAGTAGTATCTGGCCATATCTTCTGCAGGCGCATCCTCACCAGGGCTGTCTGGTTTGGAAGGATATGCTTCTGCCAATGTCCCCAGACAGATCAGCAGGCACAGGGCAAGAGTCATCATGGACAACCACAACCGCATAGTCCCCTGCATCTGTAGGAAAGTAAGAAATTGCAGGGGGAAGGCAATCAAAGGATTATTTTCAATATTTTTCTGTTCCCCCTTCTCCGGGAAGGAATAGAAACATTGTGGTTACCAATCCCTTGCTTTCACAAAGATTCGTAGAATAAGAAGCTCTTTCGGACCTAGTGAATATACTAAGCTGCCACTTAGAGTCACTTGTGATTGGCCTATAAGCCTAAGTAAGGACATAAATAAGGAAATAAAATTATTTACCCAGAGGCTAGTTGGGCTGGATGGAAATCTATCTCTGTTGCTTGGAGAAGTGCTTCTGTAACCTCATTAGCTTGCAAGCTAGCCCCTGTAATTATTTAATGTTGAGAGAGAAACTGTTTTGTGGTATGTTTTTAATGGCTTTAATGCCTTACAAATTGCTATGAGTTTTTTTGGTTGAAGAGCAGTACAGAACACTTATAAGTAAAAGGAGGAACAAAATATAACTCCTCTGCACCTCAGTGTTGCAATTACATTCTGAGAGGAAATTTTGGAAGGCATTTCTTCCAAATTCTTCTCTTGTTTTCTTTCTAGTGGCTGTTATTTAAAAATGTTCGAAACCTTTCCCATTGGGTTGACAAACAGAGAGGTCTATACACCATTATATCATTCAAAAAGGCATTGTGTAGCTATTCCATCTTTCCTTCCTTAATGGATTTGCCCTGAAAAGAAAAATAGGTTGGAAGAAATAACAGGAGAATTACAAACAGAAAACATAACTGAACCCCCCCCCTCCCCACCTCAAATTCCATCAATAACGCACAGCATTGCAGAATAAAAGCATTGTCTGGAAACACCCTAGGGAAAAATATAGGTTTATGTAATACACCTAGATCTTCGTATGGGTAAGTTTCTTTTTTTAAAAAAAATGCCTAATCCTTATAACCTGTTTATAAAATTCAGCTGAAAACTTACTAAATTTGCAAGTTTGGCGCCAGCTGTTCTAATTAGCAGCATAACAAAGAGGCAGTGAAAATGATTGAAAACCTCAGATCACTGCTAATTCAGGAATGCTTAAAACTGCTCTCTAAGATTTGGGTCTGTGTTAGGATTTTTCCTCCCTTCCCTTCCACCCTGGAGATGGGAAAACTAACCTTGGGGTCCTTTGATGGAAAACAGATGCAATTTGCCACTAATTTGCACA